AACTAAAATAATTTGTTTTTTTTTTATAAATAAAATATCGTACAGGGGCTTAGATTTTATTTTCAAAAAAAAAATGTTATTGTAGTTTTTATTTATTAAGCATTAAAAAACTAATTTAAAAATAAATTATTTTAGTATTTATTTATTAAATATTAAAAAATTAATTTAAAAATATTTTTTTTTAAATACCACATATGCATCCTAAGTGGAGGGGTAACCTGTTAGCAACTTGAGAAACCTGAAAAATGGACAAATTGAATGAAATTGGTTAGTTTAGGGACCCAATTGTAGATTTTTTAGGTTCAGTGGCCTAATTGCATTCTCGTGTGCAGTTCAGTGGCCTATTTGACCCTTATTCCTAGTATTTTTTATCAATTTCCTTATTTACCCTCTATTATATTATTTTCTTCCGTTAAATAACCCTAAATTTCGTTAGTATAAACTTTGGTAACAGAATATTCCGTTTGCTATTTATTATTCTTAACATACTCATTAATTTATATAAGAAAGGTCTTAGGTTCGAACCACATCCTAATTAGAGTTGACATAATTGTTAAAACATATATTATGAATATGTTAAAATGTATTAAAAAATATATAATATAAAATTTAACATAAACTTTGGTCAAATAATTAGCCCGACTAAATACATAACATTCAAAGTTGAGCATCAAAGATTATAAATCAGCAACTTTAAAAATTATTTGATTTTCTTGATTTTTTTTTTTGAAAAAAAAAAAAAAACAAATTTAGGTTATGATTTGTTTTTTAACGTTTAATTAATCTTTTTTTTTTGATTACTTAGAACAAAACTTAATATTTCAATTATGTTTTTGTATTATTAGAATGATTTAGGTCATTATGGTATTAATATATATATATTTTTTTTTATAATGGTGCAATTGTACATTACTTTACAAATATTATACTATTATTTTTTTTATCGGACAAAATTGTTCTTAAATCATTGTCAGACCTGCACGACCTAACTACATACAAAGTTGTTGATCATAAATACAATTACACATGGACTCTAAAACGGTAGGACCATTTTCTAAATAATTGACAATGTTAACATGCTACTAGCTCCAATTGAACAAGTTTACACAATTACACATCAAAATTTTATCAATGCATGAAAACTTCTAAAGAAATTTGTAAGTTACTGAGTAATTTTTACTATATCATTATAACAATATCTATTGTAACCATATATTTTAAATTATTTATTATCACCCTCTATTGACAGCAATTGTAGCAATTGTCATTGACAAACTCTCAAAACAATTTGTCTCAATAAGGAAAGAAAATTAAAAAAAAAATCATTGATTTCATTATTGTTGATGAAAAATATGTACGACACTTTATTACTCTTATTAAATTAAATAAATTAGTAGCTACAACAAAAAATAATACATAGGCATTTAATTAATTTAAATCAGAATAAGATGTCTATAATGCTTTATTTTTTTAAAAAATTATTCATTATAAAAAAATTTAAAAGAAATATAATTTCATTAGTTATAGTATCTTTATTTTCTACAATTCTAAGATTCCTTACCTTCAAATTTATTAATTTATTATATTCACTACATTGTCCATTATCTTCTTTTTATATTATCTTCTAATTAAATATAAAAGTTATAATACAAAACATGTTATATATATTTATTTACCAAGTATTTTATACAAATATAGTAAATATTAATATTTTGTTCAATACTTTCACATGGTAACCTACGACAGACATCTCACAACATGTATGAGAAAAACTACCACTACTAAGTATCAATATGTGTTTGTAAGATAACGAGTTCATATTACAACTAAAATGTCAGTCATATGCACATCAAGACACAAATCTAAAGCTTCCTACACCAATCTCATTGCATGATGAATCCCTCTATATATGCTATCACCAGTAACCTAACACACTACCAATACAAAAAAAATAAGAGTTAATTCCAACAATGGTCCTCCGACTATATTGATTTTCCACAATTAGTCCCCGACTTTTAATTTGGACAATTTAGATACTTAACATTTGAATTCTTTCCAATGTTGGTCATTCTGTCAAATGAAAGTTAAGTGAACGTTAAATTAAGGGGTAAAGTAGACATTTCAATTGCTTAGAGTATAATTCATCAAAATAGCAAAATCCCTAAATCCATTATGTTTAGGCTTCGTTCTTCGACCAAGGCGCCGGAATATCTCGACGGAAACTATGGGTTCCACCTGTTCGGGCTCGGAAAGTTCGAGCTGGAGACCAGAATTTGGCTAAGAATGTCGCCGGAGACATTATTGGGACAAGGACTGAAAAACGACTTAGCCGAGGATAAAGACTGAAGAACGTTTGGCTAAGAACGTTGCCAGAGATCGTTTGGAATCTTGTGGTTATGAGAACCTACTTGATTGAACCGTAGATTGCCAATAATCTGTAAACAAGAAGGCTCATTTCAGGGTCCTTGTTTGTTTCTATTTGGTGGTGTCAAGAATGGTTATTGTTCAGACGAAATACACGCACTGGATGTCTCCTTGAATCAGTGGCACAAATTAGACGCAGAAATACTCAGAGGGAGGTTTATGTTCTCTGTTGCCGATGTCCGAGATGATGTATACATCTTCGGAGGTTGCACTAGTCTTTCTAACTTTGACAAGGTTGACAAGAGCTCTTATAAGACACACAAAAGTGTGATGGTGTTTAGCCCTTTAACAAAATCATGGCATAAAGCAGCATCCATGAAATATGCAAGATCATCACCTATACTTGGAATTTATGAGGTCAGCTCTGATTATCTAATTATCAGGAATCACCAAATTCGTTTAGAAAGACGAGGAATTAGTAGTTCATCCGATGTTTATGAAGATCCTCACAGGCTTTCAGTCAGCCTTGCATTCAGACACTCCCTTGATGAAAATGAGTTCTCTTTCTTGCCCAGTATGAAGTCATATAAGTTTATTACACAAAAAAGCGGCCACTCCAATAAAGATAACAGATGGTTTGTACTGATTGCCATAGGCGGTTTTGGATGTTGGGATGAGCCTTTAGATTCATGGGAAATTTACGATTATGTATCAAATAAATGGACAGAAATCCAGAGGTTGCCTGTTGAGTTTGGAATTGCTTGTTCAGGTGTCGTTTGTAACAGGATGTTTTATGTTTACTCGGAAACAGATAAGCTTGCTGCTTTTGACATAGAAAGGGGGTTACTGGATTGGAATCCACATTACCCCTCCTCCCCGGGTTCATGAGTACAACCCCCGACTTATTTCCTACAACGACCGGCTGTTAATGCTTTCAGTCTCCTGGTGTGAGGGGGATGATCAAATAGGCAGGAGAAACAAAGCGGTAAGGAAGTTATGGGAGCTTGATCTTAGGTATCACACTTGGATTGAAGTTTCTACTCATCCCGACGCCCCCATGGATTAGTATGCTGCATTTTTTTGTCTGGGATAAAACCATGATATTTGGAGTGAAAATGTTCAAAATATTTGGACAGATTATTTTTGACTTCCTGACAGTTTGTAATATCGTATCTGATGGCGAAACAAACTGGAGGCATATCTCAAGGAATCATGTAGCTCATTAGCTTGATACAACCTCGCGCGCGCATGACAAAATCAGTGGTAGTTCTACACTTGTGAATTAGGAACCTTCGGATCATTTCACGATATTTGAAACCTAACCCACCCAACCAGGGCTCATGGTATCTGCTCGTGGTTTCATGTTTTTATCCGTTGGCGGTGACAGAGAGAGAGATTTCTTCAGTCGACAGGCTTGGTAGCGGTCGCGACCTCCGGTGAAGGCAGCAACCAGAAGACCCGCAATTTATAATTTTCTCTCTCAAAATACACTCAATACTTGAAAGGACGCTTTTACCCCCCAAATTGATGTCCACTCAACTTTCATCTAACGGAAGGACTAACATTGGAAAGAATTTGATAGTCAAGGGTCTAAATTGTCCAAATTAAAAGTCGGGGACCAATTGTGGAAAATCAACATAGTCGGAGGACCATTGCTGGAATTAACTCAAAAAAATAATAAAAGAGAGGACATGTAAATGAAAACAATGACAATGCTACCTAAAAGAAAATTAAGAAGAATTAGAGAAATTTAAACCAAAAATAGTATTTATTTAGACTATCGCTTTAAGACTAAGTATTTAGACTAGTGTTATTACAAAGTTGCAAACATTTATTTTAGTGACAATTATAATCGATCTCTCATATATTATCTTGAATTTATCTACTTCAAATTACCGATTTAAATAAACAAATTCAACATTCATTTATCTATGCATAAACATCTCCCATATAATATTGCATTGCTATACTTCGAAATACTTATTTAAAAATAATCATTGGGCATTATCCAATTTGCGCAAAGCGCGTAAAAAAACTAGTATATAATTAAAGATCATGAATTTTAGCCTTGCTGACACTCTCTCACTCGAGCTCCGTACCCTTGTCATTCAAAAATATGTTATTTTGGGGACAACCCTAACAAAATTGGTCATTATAAGGGTATATATTCGACTCCTAGTGTGAGTTGTCTATTGGCCATTTTTTATTTGAGCGGGTCAATTATGTACAACCGGTCCTTATGGTCCTTTAACTGCTAGGTTACAAGACGGGTTCACCCAATACACACTATCAGATAATGGTTGTGGGTTTCTCTCTTCACTCAAAAAATATTATTTCCCCATAAATATATAATTATATTGGTAGTAGAAAGGGCCAAGGGGTAGTGTATATGTATATATATATAAATATATATTATTGAAGGGTTTTTATCTATCCATCCACATATATACTACATTTGTATTTGTAAGGACAAGCTAAGGTGTTTACCATTGGCTGTGCATGCATGACTCTCTTTCAACCATTCTCTTTTTGTGTTCCATTCCAATGCATGCATCAAACTTCAATTTCCTCATCAGCTCGCTTTTGTTTTGCATGCATCCATTATCCGGCCGGCGGCGGGATCATATCGATCGATCATGTCGACATCAAAAAGGTTGTCTTCCGCGGGACTAGTCCCCGGCCTCCACCGCTCCGAAATCATGGTGTGCCAATACGCAGATAATATCAACTCCCAGGGCGGCGCATGGGTCGGCGGCGATATCCTCTCCTACACCTTGCCGCTGGTTTTCGCCCAGTTCATCTTCATCTTCCTCATTACCAGATCCATTTTCCTCCTCTTCAGGCCTCTTAAACAAAGTATGATCACTGCATACCTTATTGTAAGCTCCGTTCTCATATATATATATACATCTATATTTGTTTGTTTCCATCTGCAATATAATATCATATATATCTTGCAACACTTACTTTGCATAATAAACTTCTTTGCTCTTGTGGGCTTAGAAAAATTACAAAATTAGTAAATAAGGATGAGAATATCTCCTGTTCTCAACCGGTATCCCAATTCTTGCTCCAACGAGGATGTGCCATAGGAAAAAATTCGAGGAACGGGAGCAGAAAATATTTCCAATTCCTTAACTAGGATAGGGACGAGAGACCTGGGTGGGGCCAGCATCGTCCTTGCACTACTAGAAATTATGAAATTTTTACCACCTAAAAGTGATCTTAAATCAAGTTGATACTAAAAAGTGCTCGAAAATAGCAACAAAGATTTTTCCGAATACCAGTGGCCGGAACAAGGCTTTTGAAAATCACTTTCAGGTGGTCAGAATTTCATAATTTCTAGCAGTGTTGTGCAGTTGTGCCATCATACTTATAGTCGTTATTTGTGAGTGTATATTTGGTAAATGTCACCATGTGATCATAGTTAGCAAATTAAATCAGGTTGTTGACTGAAACCAAAGTTGAGTAGGAAAGGAAGCCCGTTACCACTACTATAAGGGTATGCATACACTAAGTTACTAAGTAATCAAATTTAATCATCAAAAGACCACCAGGTAAACTAACTTAGTTTATCTATAAGTGACCGACCCAAAGGTCAATATATAGGCCGTTCTCACATGGAATAAGAACTTGTAACTAACAATCTGCCATTATTTTCGATTCTTTATTTCAATTGAGTTGCTTGGTTTGTGATTCATCTTATTGTTTCTATGAAATCTCCGGCAGAGTGGGATTCTCATCGGACGGACAGTTTTGGGTCGCAGCGAAGATTTCACGGAGCTGCTGTTCCCGATACAAGGGAGAATGGTTCTAGAAACAATCGGCGAATTGGGGTTCATGTTCCACCTTTTCATATTGGGCGTGAACACGGACGCGACGGCGGTGACGCGCGCCGGAAAAAACGAGATTCTGATCGGAACGTCGTGTTTCGTGGTGCCGTACGCGCTGTGCGGGCTCGTTGTGTACACGCTGCCGCATTTTATCTTCGTCAACGAGGTGACGGAGCACTGCCTTATTTTCATATCCATCATGAGCGCCATCTCGACGTTTCCGGTGATCACCAGTTTGTTGGCCGACCTTAATCTCCTCAACTCCGAGGTAGGCCGCATGGCGACGTCGTCGTCTATGGTCTGCGATTTCTGCAGCTATTTCGCGTCGCTAATTATGGGATTCCTGGGACTTTCTAAAAAGTTCAATCGAATGAGCATATTTCTGACGATTGTGTGGACGGTGGCGTGCCTGGCTTTAGTCGTGGTCGCCGTCCGGCCGGTGATACTCCACATCAACCGGCGGATACCGGAGAATGGGCCGATGAAGGAGACGCAATTCCTTGCGATTATGGTGCTTGCGTTGTTATGCGGGTTAGTGTCGGAGATTCTGGGGCAGCCGGCGGGGCTGGGGACTTTTATGTTGGGGATCGCGGTGCCGAATGGGCCGCCGTTGGGGTCGAATTTGGTGAATAAGATTGACGTGTTTTGCACCGGAGTTTTACTTCCGGCGAAGTTTGCGGTCAGTGGTCTGGATATGGACTTGTTCTCGGTGGGGACTGGGACCGCGGGGGCCGTTATGGAGTTCATCATCATCTTGGGTTACATAACGAAATTCGCCGGCACTTTTATTCCGGCTGTTTTCGTCGGATTTTCAGTCTCCGACGCCACGTCTCTTTCCCTCATCATGTGCTGCAAGGGTATCATCGAAATGGCTGTCTTTATCACCTTGAAGGAAAATGCAGTAAGCCACCTTAATTTCACTTTGATCATTTAAGGTTTTTTTTTTCCAAATAATTTGTGCCATCTTTACTTTTCCTTTGATCATTTAATCAAATTTAATCATTCCTCATATAACCCATACCTATTATTAACCTTAAGCCGGTAGGCATAAGGGATCTGCCCATTTTGAGCATAATCCACAAATTGCCGCCCCTAAAGTTTGAATCTTAGTCTTTACTCCAAATACGGTCTACTGAACCATTGAGCTAAACTAGTGTGAGCAAAGAATTATTATTACGGAGTATATTTTTGTGTGAGTTGTATTTTTTACTATTACATCTCTTGAATCCCTAACCTGGGCTCAACAGACCATTAGGGGATACAGGGTGACTCAATGGCTCAGCAGTTTGGACATAATCCCGCCTGAGTCAGGACCAAATGCCAGTGCTTTAGGTATAATCCCCACACTACCACAGTCGAAGTTCAAACTTTAGTTTCTTCTCTCAAATACGACTTACTGAACCATTGAGCTAAGTCTGTGCTGGCAACTTTGGTTATAAGCGGAATCTATTGAATGTATAACCTAGCTACATAGTAATTACAATTTCGACGTCATGTGCAGATGTTAACTTCTCAAGCACTGGGCCTACTACTAGGCACGATGCTGGTGGTGACGGGAACGGCAACGCCACTGGTGTGCTACCTCTATGATCCATCCATGAGATATTTAGGTTACCGAACAAACTCCATTCTTCACTCCGATCCCCACACCGAACTCCGCATGTTGGTGTGCGTTCACAACGAAGAGGATGTCCCAGCCCTCATTAATCTCCTCGACATTACCTGTCCGAACCGCCACCGCCCGATCTCCGTCTCGGTCCTCACCTTGACGGAGCTCAAGGGCCGGGCCGATGCTGTGTTGCTGTCCGGCTCCAGTTCTGTGCACGGCAAACCCAGCCCCATCGGGATGAAGCCGTCCAAGAGCCGTACGTCGGACCGGATCGCCAACGCTTTCCACGCTTTTCGGACGCGCAACCACAGCGCCGCGGCGGTGGAGTTCTTCACGTCAGTGGCGCCGTACGCCAGCATGCACGACGACATATGCACCATCTCGCTGGAGAAGGGCGCCAACATCGTGATCGTGCCGTACCACAAGCGCGTGACGTTCAACGGCGACGTGATGGCGAACTCGCCGGCGATTCGGATGGTGAACCAGAACGTGCTCCAGAAGGCGCCCTGCTCCGTCGGTATTTTAGTGGATCGCGAGAAAGTCGCTGAGAATCAAGCGATTCGGTTAGGCATCACCCTGCTACGTGTCACCCTGCTGTTCATCGGCGGGCCCGACGACCGCGAGGCGCTCGCCTACTGCTCGCGCATGACGGACCACACCCACTCCAGCATCACCCTAGTGTGGATTCGGAAAACCGCCGACAGGAGGCCCGACAACCTCGACGACCCCGAAAGAGACATAGACGCCGAGCTGGTCAATAAATTCCTGTCAACCCACACCGGAAACGACCGGATCTCATTCATAGAAGAGTTCGCGACGGACGCCGTGGACACAACCCGAGTCATTCGCGCTCTGATAGGCCACTGCGAGCTTTGCATTGTGGGTAGATATCATGACCCCAACTCGGAACTCATCTTGGGGATCACTGAGTGGACCGAGTGCTCGGAACTCGGGGTCATCGGAGACATGTTGGCGACGACGGATTTCAAGTTTTCGGTGCTGGTGGTGCAGCAGCTTCCGCAAGGGACGGCGATGGAGCACTGGAATACATTGGAGCCTGTAGGCAGTAGCAGTAGGCATAGTCAAAGTAGCCGAGTTTTCAAACCTTATAGCTCTAGGAGCTATAGAGAACCTTTGAAACTTTAATCTATACGTACAATAGTAATTATATGTATTTTTAGTTTTTTACTAGTGTAACTATAGGCTAATGGCTTATGTATACAACTCCAAATAGCACATTGGTATCTTAAATATATACATATTTTGGTAAATATATATTCGAGGTGATATATATATATATATATATATATATATATATATATATATATATATATATATATATATATATATATATATATATATATATATTCATATGTGCCCAGATCTTGTCACGTTGATCACCCCATATCTTCCCTTTTTCTTCTTAGCTTATTGGTTGGTAGTGTGAAGAGCATTTCTTGTGCTTTTGGTACATTTCATTAGTTAGGAATAGGGTTTGTGAAAGTTGGGTTACAGATAAAGTTGATGCAGATTGTTTATTTGGGCACGAAGTGGAGTTAAGGTTTTTGATCGAGACGCTTCCTCTTTGCTTCCTAACTATGCATGGCGGTGCCCCGGCGGCGTTGGCAATTCAACGTGGTGGCGGTCGTTCCGGTCGAGGCGGACAGGGTTGCGGCGGTAACTAGAGGGGCAGCGGCAATCAGCATCGAGTCGGTGGCGGACGGCAACAGGGTGGCCGCGGTCATGGTAATAACAGAGGAGGTAATCAAATTTAATGTCAAATTTGCAAACGCACAGGTCACGAAGCGGGTGCATGTTACAATCGTTATGATCCACCGACTCAAGCCAATATAACCTACCTAAATAATTCAGACATTGGTGGATCTCAAATGTGGATTCTAGACACAAGTGCTACCAACCATGCCACCCTGGACATTGCTGCCTTGTCCACTTCAAAGGAATATGTTGGTAACGACACTTTACGTGTTGGTGACGGTATGGGTTTATCAATTAGTCATGTTGGCCATGCCTCTTTCAGTACCCCTTTTAAATCTTTTCAATTGTCTGATATTCTTCATGTTCCAAGTTTGTCAAATTCTTTATTATCCGTTCAAAAATTTGCATCTGATAATAAGGTTTTTTTTTTTTTTTTTTTTTTTTTTTTTTAGTTTCACCCACTTTTTTTTGTTGTGAAAGATATCAATACCAAGGAAATTGTTCTTTGGGGCAATAGTTCTGGGGGACTATACACTTTACCGCTGCCATATACGTCTTTTTCTGCTTTCTTCTCAGCCCGTGCCTCAGCATCAGTTTGGCACAATCGTCTAGGTCATCCTCATCATCGCGTTCTTAGTTGTATTCTTCAACCTTCTTTAGTTCGCGGGTCTTTAATCAGTAGTGCAAATAATTTGTGTAATGCGTGTCAGTTGGGTAAATACGCCCGTTTTCCCCTCTCACGTGTTACTTCCTCTAGTTCGCATGTTCTTAATTTAATTTACACAGACATTCGGGGACCTGCTCCTTTTCAATCTACAAATGGTTACTATTACTTTGTAATATTTGTGGATGATTATTCTCATTTCACATGACTTTTCCCTATGAAATTGAAGTCTGATCTTTATGTCATATTTGATAAGTTTTGCATCCTTGTTGAAAGGTCATTCAATTGCAAAATAACATCCATTCAGTCTGACCTAGGTGCTGAATATAAAAAATTGCACAACTCTTTTGTTCAATTAGGAATTCAACATAGGCAATCCTGTGCATATACACATGAACAGAATGGTCGTGTTGAGCGTAAGCATCGTCACATTGTTGAAACTGGCCTAGCCCTCCTAGCTCATGCTTCTGTTCCTTTAAAATTCTGGGATTTTGCCTTTGAGACAGCCACTTATTTGATTAATAGAATGCCATCTTCTGTGTTAAATAATTCTAGTCCCCATCACTTGTTGCATAAATGCCCTCCATCCTACTCTTTTCTTCGTGTCTGTGTTATCCTCATCTTCGTCCATACAATCATCACAAAATATCATACAGATCCTCTCCCCGTGTCTTCTTAGGTTATCCGGATTCCTTTAGGGGTATAAGTGCACGGACCTTCATATTAACAAGATTTACACATGCAGACATGTCAGATTTGATGACGAAATTTTTCCCTTTGCTGCGAAATCTTCTTTACAGGATTTGTCTTGATATCATGAAGCTTTGTGGGTGGAATCTGTTTTGACTCATCAACCCCCCATGCCATGCTCCACCGTGCTCCTCCGGATCAGCCGCTGCCTGCCGACATCCAACCGACCGTTTTTGACAATTCTGCCACAGCTTCGGCTGACGTCGCAACTCCACTACAGCGACGACGAGGAAGGCCTCGTGGTCGGTCCACCAGGCCTACCGAGCGTACTCACTCTATGGCTACTCGTAGCAGGTTCGAAACACCACTTATGGCCCTATCGACTCAGGTTTGTCCTACGGAACCCACATGTTATTCTCAAGTTGTAAAATATCCTGAGTGGCGAGATGCAATGGACCACAAGTATGAATGTTATTGGTTGTAAATGGGTTTTCCGGACTAAAAGAAAAGCTGATGAAACTCTTGAGAGACATAAAGCAAAATTAGTGGCAAAAGGGTTTAATCAAGTGCCTGGCCAGGATTTCTTTGACACACACTGCTGGAAATTATGGAATTTTCGATCACCTGAAAGTGATCTTAAATCAAGTCGAAAGCAATAAGTGGTCGGAAATAGCAACAAAGGTTTTTCCGGATACCAAAAGTGGTCGGAACAAGGCTTTCGACTTGATTTAATATCACTTTCAGGTGGTCGGAAATTCCATAATTTCCAACAGTGACATTCAGTCCAGTGGTAAAACCTACAACTGTAAGGCTTCTTTTATCTTTAGTCTTATCTTCGGGATGAGCTATCAGGCAACTGAATGTTCATAACGCTTTCCTGAAGGCAACTAGATGTTCATAACGCTTTCCAGAATGGTAATCTTGCTGAAACTGTTTATATAAAGTAACCTCCTGGCTATGTTGATACTAATATTCCATCCCATGTCTGCTTGCTAAAGAGATCTCTATATGGATTAAAACAAGCTCATAGAGCTTGGTTTAATCGTTTGCATGCCATTTTATTAACATTTGGCTTTCAAGCATCCAAAACAGGTGTCTCTTTGTTCTTTAATTTTATTCTAAGGATTCTGCCTTAGTCTATCTGTTGGTTTATGTGGATGACATTCTTATAATGGGAAGTGATCGGGTTCTGATTTTCCAGTTAATATCAAAACTATCAGCTGCTTTCAAAATCAGAGATCTTGGTGAGCCAAATATCTTTCTGGGTATTGAAACTGTCAAATGCAAGGATAGTATTATTTTATCTTAGCAACGATATATGAATGATATTCTTAAACGTGCTGGAATGGCTGAGTGCAAACCTCTTTCTACTCCTATCCCTATTTCAAAACATGTTCCGTTTAGTGCAGATTTGCATGATGATCCTACACAGTACAGGAGTATAGCTAGGGTTTTACCTGCAGTATCTCACAGTCCCGCGTCCTGATTTATCCTTTGCAGTTAATCAGCTATGTCAACACATGCATGCCCCCACTGTATCACACTGGGAACAGCTCAAGTGTGTGCTAAGGTATGTCAAGGGCACTCTCGACCTCAGGTTGCGCATTCAACAGTGCAGTTCAAAAAAAAATTCATGCCTTTTCTTATTCTGATTGGGCTAGTTGTCTAGAAGATCGTAAGTCCACAAGTGAGTATGCAGTCTTTTTAGGCACTAATCTCATATCTTGGGTTTGTAAGAAACAGAGAACCGTTGCTAGATCTTCCATTGAAGTTGAATACAAAGCTCTGGCTTATGTTTGTGCTGAGGTTTTATGGATCATGTCGCTATTATGAGAGATACATGTGCCAGAAATTTCAACTCCAAAGCTCTAGTGTGACAATCTGGGAGCTACCTATATGAGTGCTAATCCAATTTTTCATGCTCGTACCAAACATGTGGAAATTGATTATCACTTTGTTCGTGACAGGGTGGCCTCAGGCGATATTCAAGTCAATTTTATTTCTACAAAAGATCAACTTGCTGATATATTCATCAAAGCTTTGCCTGGTCCCAGGTTTTCTTCACATAGAGATAGCTACAAGTCACTAGTGTACCATGTGCTTGAGTGGGAGTATAAGATTCTATGTATTTGAGTCAATCTAGATCTCCTGCTCCTAGTTACTATATGACTCTTTATTGTATATATTTCAATCTCTTGTACTCATTGTAATCAAGTCCAGTTAATACAATTCCATCAGTTCTCATCATAGGAAGTTTCCATCAATCGTTGATAGTTAGGGTTTAGCCTTGTCAAGGTTTTTCCTCTTTTAGATTAAGGGCTAATTAGGAATATGATTTATAATGATATTATAAAGTCGAGCGAGGGACAAAGTTGAAGACGGGTTGTTCATTCAAGCGCAAAGTGGAGTGAATGTTTTTGAGACGCCTCCTTCTTGCTGACTAACAATGTTGGTCGATGATAAATGGGGTGTCCAACGAATATAATCATGGATGTTTGGCCAATAATAAATAGGGTTACCAATGAATATAATCACGGATGTTTGGCCACCGATGATAAATGGGGTATCCCATGAATCATGGATGTTCCTGTTGTTCGCTAATAGTTAGGGCAGGATTTCTCCCCCTTCTCAACTTCAAAAAGATCAAAAGTCATATGTTGGTATCATTTTACATAACTGATCTGATTAGTGGATTACTACTTCATAGTCCCAATAATATGAATATGAAGTTCCAATGTAACTATAAAAATTATAAACGGAATATAATGAGCTATAACAATATTAGATTGTAGTTTTATTGAATTGGAGTAGTTTTCATATTAGGTATTACTTTATTTACAAAATTTGAATCTAAAGTTTTAATTATTGGGAATGAAGTTTGGCATATATAATGGCCAGTTTGGTTCACGGAATCAATTTGGAGGGAATAGGAATGCTATTCCATGTGGAATGGAATAGGTAAGGAATAGAATAGAAATTGTATTCTACTGTTTGGTTCGTGGAAAGAATAGACTTTAGGAATTGTATTTCAATGTTTGGTTGGTTAAAGAATAGAAATGGAATATATGTTTAAAAGACCTA